GCAACTGAGAATGTCGGCAACCTCGCGCTGCTTGTGAACCTCCGCCCGCTGATTACCCCTGGCGGTGGCGCTGGGGTTCCTCCCATGGCGCCTGCCGGGCCTGCGCTGGGCTTGCTCCGTGGCGCGGCGCCCATGGCGCCTGCGGCCGCGGCTGCTGACCCCGCCGGGCTCTGGCGGGCTGCTGGGGGAGTTCCGCAGTGTCGACGAGGTTCCGGGCCATGTACCAACTGCCCGTTGCCCGGGGGGCCGCGACCTCCACGAGCTGCCCAACGGCCAGGGCCTCGCCTCTTCGTCGAGCTGGTCCCCGCGTCGGGGTTGGAGGCGTTCTTGCGCAAAGCGGTCGACGTGGACGCGAATTTTCTCCCAGGTATCCGGGATGCTCATGGCCGCCGAGCTCTCCCTTGGAAACGCACGGTGGAGTTGACCAAACAAGGGGGTGTCGGTTCTGAGTGGACGTTGCCGGGCCCCAGGACGCCGAGTTGGCGCATGAATTACTTGCTGTGCGATTTCCTGGGCATCGAGGGTCACCATGAGACATTTGCGCCAGATTTGTAAGCTCGCGGCCACCGATTGGGGGGTGCAGGAGCATCACCAGGTGTGCCAACAGGTCAAGGCCGCCACATGCCAGGACTTGCCCAGCGGTGCAAATCATCATCGAAAGTCAGTTCAAGACGAGAGGCTGACCATCGAGTTCGCTCAGTGGAACAAGGTCAAGGATGCCGAGAGCAAGGGCATCAGAGGCAAGATGGGTCCCGAGGAGCAGGAGCAGGCCGTTTTCTCAGGTGTCTCGCGCTCTGCGTCGTCGGCGATCGTTTGCTCCGAGCTGATCGAGTAAATCCGCGCGGGCGCGGGGAAGAATAGCAAGTTGCAAAGGAGCCTGCGCCCGGCCCGCGATGGGGCAGGAGCCCAGGCGCAACGATGGTTCAGGATCGCATCTGCGCTATCGTCGGAGGGGGCGGCAGCCTGAGTAACATGCACCTTCGTGCAGCCTGGCGCGCTGGACTGCCTCGCGCCCAAGACGCCCACGGCGTCGGTCGCCGTCCGCCTTGGGGCATCTTCCCACTGCCCTACCCCATCGTTGGGAAGAAGCTAGGCGTCAACGTTTTACGTATTTTGGCCAGTGGAACCCGACGTTGGGCGGGCAAGCAGCTGGGCGTCTGCGACGACGTGCTCAGCGCCGTGGACTCCACGATTGGACTCATGACCCATCGTTGCGAAAGGGTCGCGGCCGCGCAGCAAGATGCGCGGGCCCGTGGTTTACTCGGAGAGACGGCGCGCCCGCATCGGCGAGCCTGCGCGGGGCCGCGCCCCACCGCCCACGTTCCCCCCCCCCCGCCCGCAGAAGCGCCGAGGCAGCTTCGCCAGCTTCGCGCGGCGAGGGTCGCCTTCGCCGTCGAGCAGCCACCCCTCGGCAGCAACGACCCCGCGCTCAATTTCTCGCTCGGGGTCGACTCGGCGCCCGCGCCGCTGGCCGAAGTGCGCGGGCGGGGGGTGGGGGCGGACAATCCGAGGTCGAACGCTTCGCCCGGCAAAGCTTGCTTTGTCCAAGCGAGTCGGCTGCCCGTTTCCGCTGGAGCTCTGCGCCCGCCCCCATCTCCGACCCTCTCCTGCGCGACCCGAAGTGCTGGCCCAGCTTGGTCATGCTATTGCGCGAGTGGCGCCTCGCGGGCCCCGCCCATGAGAGCGGCGTCCGCGCCGAGATATTTCCAGAGAGAAAAGAGGCAACCGACTCCGAATGGTTGCCGGCTGCCGTCGATCCAGCGAGATTCCGCGGAGCCCTGCTCCGCTGGGCTCGCGACGAGCAGCGCGTTCGGCCCCCTCGAGATGGTCGGCGACGAGAGCGAGCTCGCCATCGAAGGCGCCGACCTGAGGGTGCTTCCTCCCACATGGAGTCGCCGGAGGCGCTCCGGCACGCTTTCGCCTTCCGCCCCGCGCCAATCATGAAGCGGGCGGCCGGGGCCGCGGTCTGCGACGTGCCGACTCGCCCTCGCGATGGGCGACCTGCGACGTCATTGGCTCCCGCGCGCCACCCCGGGCACATCGACAACTTCTCGGACGTTGGCCACGACGCGGGGGCCGCGAAGGGCAGCGTCGCCAGAGCCGCAAAGGAGCTCGCCCGCCGCGGCCCGGTCGCCACCCGCAAGCGCCACCTGGACGACGCCAGCGATGAGATCCAAGCGCGCGGCTGGGCCATCTCGACGGCCAGCTGCCCCTCGGCGTCGGCCCCCCGCCAGCGGCGCGCGAGGACATCTCCCCGCGGCCTCTCGGCCCGGGGCCGCGCGCAAGGCCGCGGCCTCGAGGGGCCCTGGGCCACGCCGTCTTCGGCCCGCGCCCGGCGCGAGGGGCCCAGATTTTCATATTATCGCCCTTGTTTCGCCCAGGAGCGCCGCCAACGCGAGGCGCCGCTCTGGCGACGGGTCGGGCGAGCTCGCGGCCAGGAGCGGCGCTGCCCCTTCGTTGCGGCGCGACCTCCGCGCGCAGAGCCCCGGCTCTGTCAGCCGCGCCGACGCATCCCCAGAGGGCCCAGGCGCCCGCGAGGCCGAGCGGGGGCTGGGCGCCGCGCGCGCGCGAGGGGGGGTCGGTCGCCATGGCGAGAGATGGCGGCGCGGCAGGGCTGAACGTTTGCCTCCTCTCCGCAGCGCGCGCGCCGCCGAACTCGCGGCCGAGGGGGCTGCGGACGGCTGCGCCGCGCTAGGTCCGCCTCTCGCGGCCGACGCGCTCGCGCGAGGACGCCGGGCCGGCGGGGTCACCAGCGGCGCGGGGCCTGCGTGGATTTCCGGAGGTGCCGAAATGCATGCTTGAGAAGCCCAGGCGGAGCGTCGCAGGCCGCGCGGAGTGGGGTCGCCTCGGGGGGGCGTCGGCATAAGAGGCCCAGGCTGTATTGCATCGTGCCCGTCGCGCCGTGCTTGCGGTTCGCAGCCGCGACAAGCGCTCGCCGACCCCCTTCGGGCGCTCGCTGGCCTCTGTCTCAGCTGCTGCTAGGGCGAGGGCCCATCGCGCGCAGGATTTGGGCCGTTGTTATGGCCTCGGGATGTTCTTTCAGCGCCCGCTGGGCCCCGCTCGGGCACGACGTCGCGCACGGGGGCCCTCTCTCTTAGGGGCCGCGGGGTCCACTCGCAGCCCGTCGACGAGCTCCTGGACGGCCCCTTCGTCGTCGGGCGCTCGCCGATCCCGGACCTGCCCCGCGTGGACGACGGCATGGGCGCGACGCACATCCACGACGCCAGCGCCCTGAATTGCGCGCGCCGCACCTCCGCCATCGCGCGCAGCACTAGCGCGCCGACCGCCCGCCGCACGTCAAGCACTACGAGCGCGCACAGGACCAGGACGGCAAGGACAGATGCCGGGCGCGCCCAGGCCGCGAACGCCAACCACGCCGGCCAGGCGAAACACCGAGCGCCTCGAGCCGAAACCCTTCGAACTCTGTCCCCGCGGGCCCTCGTGGCTCAAGGCTGCTCGGTATATATCCACGCGCATCGCCTTGCCTCCCTCGGCGCGCCGCCCCTCGCGCCCACGGGCCCCCCGCGGGGGGGCAGCGCACAAGAGGCCGGCGGTAGCGCTGCAGGTGCCCACGGGCAGGCCGACTTTGGCGCGGAGGCGGGGCCCTCGACTAGCGCGGCGGCCCCCGTTCCAATTGCGCCCCCGCAGGGCGCCTCGCCCCGCCGCCCAGGCTCGAGCCCCCGCCCGGCGTCGCCGCAGCGCGCTCGTGGCTCCGCCCCCAGGCATGCCAGTCCTGAGCGCCGCCTCCGCTCGAATCGAAGCGGACCGCCCGGCCCGCTTCAAACTGCTGGAGAGTTTCGACAGATGGGTACTGGAGGAAAGGGGGGCCATCAGGATGCCCTCTCAGATGGGCGCTGCGGCCCGCGACGATATGACCCACCTCTTCAAGCAGGGGGCGACCACTAGGGGCATGCGAACCGCCTGACTGCGGCCGCGGCTTGCAATGGCCCTCGCCATGCCAAAGCGGGAGCCTCGGACTTGCCGCTTGCCAAGCGGGCGGCGAAGGGCCAGCGCGACTTCGCGCCCCCCGAAGGGGGCGCTGCCATCCGCGGTCGCGGCAACGATCACCAACTACCTTTTGTACCGCGCTATGCGGCAGCGGGCGATGGCGGTCTGGTTCCACTTCGAGATCTACGGGCGCTTTCGGCGACATCCACGGCCTGCGGCTTCGCGGCCTGCGAGATCTCGGCGGCATCCACGGCCTGCGCGCACAGGAGACATTTGGAGGCAAAACAGCAACTTCCGTGGACTCCAGATGTTGCTTCCGAAAATCCAGAATCGGTACTGGGCCCTGGGTGTTTTCTTGGAGCTTTCTGTTGTCAGTAGAACGTTCCTAAATCAGTATTTGGATTACTGTATCAAAAAACGCGCGGGACAAAATCCATCTTTTGAGTTCAAAGTTTAAGTCTTATTCATGCTTACGCCGGGGTGAGAGCTTTTGTTTGCCATTCGCGGATTGGGAGGACGACGGCGAGGAGGAAAAGGAGGAAGAGGAGGGCGACGACGACGGCGAGGGGTGGGGACTGGCTCAGGGGGGTGTTCGAGCGATTTGGAGGTTCTTGGGCGTTTTCTGGCCTCGGGGTATTTTCTGTCCTCGGGGCGCCCAGATCTTCCCGAGTGGCCCGTGGGGAGCCAAGCTGGGACCCGAAAGCCAGGAGGCAACCTTCGGCGCCGGCCCGCAGGAACTCGTGCGCGTGGAATTGCCCCTCCCATTCGCGGCCCCCTAGAGATGCGCACCAAAGTCGGCGTCGCGCACACGAGGGTAGGAGGAGGGGGGGTGCTTCTTAGAAGAACCCCTGCTTCTTAGAAGAACCCCTGCTCCTTAGATGGCGCTGGCCTTACATCTTCAGACAAGAACCGCGCCTCTTGAGAAGAATAAGAGTTTTCAAGAAATCTTCGCCCCATCCCCCTAGCCCCCTCTGCGCGAGGCCGACAAAAGTCACCCTTGCCCAGGGTCACTCTTGCCCCATCGAGTTAGAACAAAATGCAGCATCAGCATAATGTCTCGGAGCTCCGCGCGAAGTTCTTGGATCGGCGCTGGGCCCCCCCCCGCGGCGCCTCGGACGCCGCCCCCGGCACGCTCCATGCGCCAAGGGAGAGGCCCAGCGCCGACCCCAGAGGTTCGCAGGGACGTTCGAGAAATTAGGTTTGTGCAGTGTTTCGCGCCTCTTCCCCACCTCAAGGTGGTCTCCTGGAACGTCCAGAAGGCCAGACCGCCCGGGGAGCCCAGGGCTTTGAGCTCGCCCGGAGCTGGCCCGAGCCAAGTGGAATGCCGGCACGGGAATGGTTTTTACCCCTGGGCGACAACGGGCATGACAGGGGGGGGGACCGGTCGTGGCCGTCCCAGTGGAATTCAGGTGGGAGCTCGGGGTGTCGTGGGGTGTGTATGTTTGTGGTTGTGGTTGTGGTTGTGGTTGTCTTTGTGTTTGTGTTAGTGTTTGCGTCTGTGCCTGTGCTTGTGTTTGTGTATTTGTTTGTGTTCGTGTTTGTATGTACCTTTGTGCTTGTGTTTCCTTTGTGTTTGTGTTTGTGTTTGTGTTTGTGTTTGTGTTTGTGTTTGTGCGTGCGCGCGCGCAGGCGGATGGACGGGCGGGCGGGCGGGTTTGCGGGCGTGCGGCCGTGCGGCCGTGCGGGCGTGCATGCGTGCGTGCGTGTGTGCGTGTGTGCGTGTCTGCGTGTGTGTGTGTGTGCGTGTGTCTGTGTGTGCATGTGTGCCTATGTGTGTGTGTGTGCGTGTGCACGTGTGTGCGTGTGTGCGTGTGTATGTGTTGTGTGGTGTGTGTTGTGTGTGTTGTGTGCGTTGTGTGTGGTTGTGTGTCTGTGTGTTCTGTGCGTTGTCTGTTGTGTGTTGTGCGTAATGTGTGTGTTCTGTGTTGTGTGTTGTGTGTTGTATTGTGCTTGTGTTGTGTGTGGTGTGTATGCTGTGTGTCTGTGTGGTGTGTTTGTGTGGTGCGTTTGTGTGTATGTCTGTGTGTCTGTGTTGGTGTCTGTGTCTGTGTGTGTGTCTGTGTCTCTGCCTCCGTGTATGTGTGTATGTGTGTATGTGTGTGCGTCTGTGAGTGTCTGTGTGTGTCTGTGTGTGTTTGTGTTTGTCTGTGTGTGTCTGTGTGTGTCTGTGTATCTGTGTGCCTGTGTGTCTGTGTGTCTGAGTGCTTGTGTGTCTGTGTGTCTGTTTGTCTGTGTGTCTGTGTGTCTGGGTGTCTGGGTGTCTGTGTGCCTGTGCGTCTGTGAGTCTGTGTGTCTGTGTGTCTGTGTGTCTGTGTGTCTGTGTTTTTGTGTAGTTGTGTGTCGGTGAGTCTGTGTGTCTGTGTGTGTGTGTGCGTGTGGGTGCGTGTGTGGGTGCGTGTGTGTGTGTGCGTGTGTTTGCGTGTGTGTGTGTGCGTGTGTTCGTGTTTATGTGCGTGTATGCGCGTGTATGTGTGTGTGTGTGCGTGTGTGTGTGTGCGTGTGTGTGTGTGTGTGTGTGTGTCTGTGTGTGTGTGCGTGAGGGTGCGGATGGGTGCGGGTGGGTGTGGGTGCGGGTGGGTGCGTATGTGTGCGGGGTTGTGCGGGGGTGTGCGGGGGTGCGCGTGTATGTGCGTGTGCGTGCGTGTGTGTGCGTGTGGGTGCGTGTGGGTGCGGGTGTGCGCGTGTGTGTGTGTGTGTATGTGTGTGTGCGTGTGTGTGCGTGTGGGTGCGTGTGGGTGCGTCTGGGTGCGTTTGGGTGCGTCTGGGTGCGTGTGGGTGCGTGTGGGTGCGTGTGGGTGCGTGTGGGTGCGCGTGTGCGCGTGTGGGTGCGTGTCGGTGCGGGTGGGTGCGTGTGGGTGCGTTTGGGTTCGTGTGGGTGAGTGTGGGTGCGTGTGGGTGTGTGCGCGTGCGTGTGGGTGCGTCTGGGTGCGTGTGGGTGCGTGTGTGTGTGTGTGTGTGTGCGGATGCGTGTGGGTGTGGGTGCGAGTGGGTGTGCGTGGGTGTGTGTCGGTGCGTGTGTGTGTGTGTGTGTTTGTGTGTGTGCGGGTGCGTGTGCGTATCGGAGCGTGTGGGTGCGTCTGGGTGCGTCTGGGTGCGTTTGGGTGCGTCTGGTGCGTCTGTGTGCGTGCGGGTGCGTGTGGGTGTGTCTGGATGCATCTTGGTGCGTCTGGGTGGGTGCGTGTGGGTGCGTGTGGGTGCGTGTGGGTGCGCGTGGGTGCGTGGGTGCGTGTGGGTGCGCGTGTGCGTGTGTGTTCGTCTGTGCGTGTGTGCGCGCGTGCGTTTTCGCGCGTGGGTGCGGATGCGTGTGCGTGTGCGTGTGCGTGTGTTGCGTGCGTGTGCGTGTGCGTGTGCGCGTGCGTGTGCGTTTGTCGGTGCGGTTGCGCGTGCGCGGGAGCGCGCGCGTGTGCGGGAGCGTGCGCGTGAGCGTGCGCGTGGGTCTGCGCGTGCACGTGCGCGCGTGCGCGCGTGGCGCGTACGTGCGTGCGTGCGTGTGTGTGTGTGTGTGTGCGCGCGTGTGTGTGTATGTGGGCGTGTGTGTATTGTGTTTTGTTCGTGGTGTGTGTTTTGTGTGTTGTGTGTGTCTGGTGAGTGTGTGTGTGTGTTGTGTGTGTTGTGTGTGTTGTGTGTGCTGCGTGTGCCGTGTGTCTGTGCTGTGTGTTGTGTGTTGTGTGTGATGTGTGCTTGTGTGTGTTGTGTGATGTGTGTGTGTGTGCTGTGTGTGCGCGCTGTGTTGTGTGTGCTGTGTGTGGTGTGTATGTTGCGTGTGTGTGTGTGGGTTGCGCGTGTTGTGTGTTACGTTGTGTGTGGTGTGTGGGGTGTGTCTGTTGTGTGTTGTGTGTGGTATGTGGTCTGTGTGGTGTGTGGTGCGTGTGTTGTGTGCTGTGTGTGTTGTGTGCTTTGTGTGTTGTGGGTTGTGGGTTGTGTGTGTTGTGTGTGGTGTGTGTGTGCTGTGTGTGCTGGGTGTGTTGTGTGTTGTATGCTGTGTGTTGTGTGTGGTGCGTGTGTTGCGAGTGTTGTCGTTACTGCATGTGTTGTGTATGTCGTGTATGGTGTGTGTGTGGTGTGCGTTGTGTGTGGTTTGTGTTGTGTGTGTTGTGTGTGTGGTGTGCGGTGTGCTGTGTGTGTTGTGAGTTGTGTGTTGTGTGTTGAGTGTGTTGTATGTGGTGTGTGTTTTGTGTGTGTGTTGTGTGTGCGTGTGTGTGTGTGGGCATGTGTGTCTGTGTGCCTGTGTGTCTGTGTGTTTGTGTGTGTGCTTGTGTCTGTGCCTGTGTCTGCGTCTGTGTGCGGGTGTGCGTGCGTGCGTGCGCGGGTGTGTGTGTGTGTGTGGGTGGGTGGATGGGTGGGTGGGTGTGGGTGGGGTTGTGGGTGTGGGTGTGGGTGTAAGTGTGGGTGTGTGGGTGTGTGGGTTTGTGGCTGCGAGTGCGTGGTTGTGTGGTGTATGTGTGTGAAGTTTGTGTCGTTGTGTGGTTGTGTGTGTGGTTGTGTGTATGTATGTGTGTGTGTGTGTGTGTTTGTCGTTATGTTTGTGATTGTGCGTGTGCACGCGCTTGTGCTTGTGCTTGTACGTGTATGTGTGTTTGTTTTTGTAGTTGTTCTTGTGCGTGAGCTCATGTTGTTGATTGTGCTTGTGTTGTGATTGTGCTTGTGCTTGTGCGTGTGCATGTGTTTGTGCTTGTGCGTGTGCATATGTTTGTACTTGTGCTTCTGCTCGTGCTTGTGTTTTTGCTCATGCGTGTGCGTGTGCGTGTGCATGTGCATGTGCGTGGGTGCGTGCGTGCGTGCGTGCGAGTGTGAGTGCTTGTGGTTGTGTATGGGCTCGTTGGTGTGCTTGATATTGTGCTTGAGTTTGTGGTTGTGTTCGCGTGTGTGTGTGTGTGTGTTTGTGATTGTGGTTGTGTTTGTGCTTGTGGTTTTGTTTGTAAATGTGCTTATGTTTGCGTATGTGGTGGTTGTAGTTGTGTTTGCTTGTGTGTGCTTGCGTGTGCGTGTGTGCGTGCGCGTGTGCATGTGCATGTGCGTGTGCGTGTGCGTGTGCGGGTTTGCGTGCGCGTGTGTGTGTGTGTGTTGGTGTGTTCGTGTGTGTGTTCGTGTATGTGTGTTCGTGTGTGTATGTCTGTGTGCGTGCGTGCGTCCGTGCGTGCGTGCGTGCGTGCGTGTGTGTGTGAGTATGTTATTTAGGGACTCCTCCGGAGGGCGAGTGGGAGGAGGAGGAGGAGGAGGCGATGAGTTTGGTCCTCTAACGGGAGGGACTTCCTGGAAGCTCTGGCCTTCCGCCGTCGCGGGGCTGCGGGCGCGCCTGCGGGACGGCGGCTCTGTGCTGCGCGCGTTGGCCGTGGCCGAGAAGCCCGACATCACCTTCCTGCAGGAGCACAAGCTCCAGGACCGAGGGGGAGGGGGAGGAGGGGGAGGAGGGGGAGGAGGGGGAGGAGGAGGAGGGGGAGGAGGATCAGGAGCGAAAGAAGGACGTACATGTACATGAATCCACGCGGGTTTCGAGAGCACGCATTTCACACATGTTCGTATAGCGCGGCTGGTCTCGCGAATCGAGGGGCCGTATTCATGTACATAGCTGGGCGCGTACGTCCTTTGTAGGGCTCCCTGGAGGAGGAGGCTCAGGAGGAGGAGGGGGGGAGGAGGAGGAGGAGGAGGAGGAGGAGGAGGAGGAGGAGGAGGAGGAGGAGGAGGAGTCCAGGACGTACACGTGGAGGACGCGGAGAGCAACCTCCTTAGCATCTTCGATGCCGCGGTGCCCTCCGCGGCGCCGCACGGAGTTGCCTGGGCCGTGTCCACTGCGCGGAAGGGCTATTCTGGGACCTGTGCCATCTACAGCAGGCGGGCCGGCGGTGGCATCGTGCACTCTGCCGGCGGCGAGGTCAATGCCGCCGACAGGGCGGAGGGGCGAACGGTGAGGCTGGATCTGGCGTGCGGCCTGTCTGTGGTGGGGGCGTATGTGCCGAACGCTGGCGCGGGGCTCAAGAGGCTGGAGTTTCGCGTGCGCGAGTGGGACGAAGACCTGCGCTCGTATCTGCGGCGCCTCGGCGCGGAGCGCCCAGTGCTGCTCTGCGGGGACCTGAATGCGGGGAGCACAGAGAGGGGGCGCACCTGCCCACCAGCGCCCCCGCGGTGGAGGGAGAGAGGAGGGAGAGAGGGTAGAATGGAGCGGGGGAGGGGCTGGAGGGCGCGGGGGGGCGGGGCAGGCGTTCCCCTCTTGCTCCTCAGAATGTGGCCCACGAGGATTTGGACTTCTGGAACCCAGGCGAGCCAAGGACCAAAAAGCAGGCCGGGACCAGCCCGGAAGAGCGCGCCAGCTTCGGGCGAACCCTCGGGGAGCTCGACCTGGTGGATGCCTTCAGGTGGCGGCACCCCGACGCAGAGGGAGTCTTCACCTACTGGAGCCAGCGCAGCAGGAGCCGCGGGGCCAACAGGGGCATGCGCCTCGACTACTTCCTGGGGAGCCGCGGCCTCTTCGGGCCCCCGGGCGGCGGCGCCCGGAGCGCCGTGGCCGTGCACGACTGCGCCGTGCTCGACGCGTTCGGCGGCAGCGACCACTGCCCGATCTCGTGCACGCTGAGGACGGCGCCGTCGGCCGCGAGTGCGGCGGAGACCGCGGGGCGCCGAGGATCGGAGAACAATCAGGAGGGGAAAAAACACACAGACACAATTAATCGTCGATTCCAAGGAAAATATGGGAAAATATGGGAAGTGGGGGGGAAGACAAAAACCCAGAAAATATGGGAAAATATGGGGAATCCTGTTATTTGTGTGTATTTATTTGTGTGTCCCAGGGCCCCTTCAAACAAGCAATGACATGGACATACTGCTCCCAGGGTCCGCTCGGATTTCTCGGATCGGCGCGCAGGGAGGAGGCAGGGGGCACGCAGCGGGAGTCGGAGGCAGGAGAAGAAGCAGGACGTGGGGAAGGAGGAGAACGGCTCCCCAGGAGAGGAGGGAGCAGAGAAGATAGATCAGAGAGCAGGGAAGAGAGAGAGAGAGAGGCAATGATACTACATGTAAGTTCTCCTTCCTCACATGGTTGTGTGGGTCTGGCGCTAAGTCGCATTGTCTTTCGGTGCACGTCCATTCCCGAACGACCTCGCGTTCTCACAGATTGGCTACCCGTGTACCCCTGCTGCGTCCAGACCAGATCGCTGGTCCTCTGAACGCAGGCGCATTGCTCAGCAGTGGTGGGGTCTTGCCTTTGCCTGTTCAGGCTTCCCCTTGCGTGGATGCGTTTCTGATGCTGCGACGGTTCGGTGGCGCTGTCAGAATCACCTCCTGCTGGACGATGTCACCAGTTTTTGTCTGCTCATACCCGTCAGACTCCCTGGATTGACTTTCCCGCACGGAGATCGTTCCCACCCCGCGGTTGTCTCTACACGATCACGGCCTGGAACGCACTGCGCGCCATTTTGGCCGCGCCTGGCTCGCCCAGATGGCTGACCTCAGACTCCCTGGGTTGCAGCTTGCACGACGCCTCAGGTGTTTGACCTTTCAGACTCCCTGGGATTGCACGACCGCCTGGCCTCTCAGACGCCCTGGGTTGCCGCTGCCTTGCCGCCTGATCCGCGGTCCCGCGCGCGCTCGGGAATTTAGTCGCGGCCGCAGCCCGACCGTGACTGCTCGCCGCTGGCGCTTCCGCCTGCGGCTGTAAAAAAAAATATCCCCTCCAGCTCGCACCGTTCCGCCGCCCCAGACGTCGCTCCCGCTCCCTGGCGGTCGCCTTGGAACCGCTAACCAAAAAAGTATCCCCACCAGCCCCCTCGCCAGCCGGACGTTCCCAGAGTTCGATTCTGGCGCTTGCCACGCTAGTGCAGCTGTCCTGGGTGAGGTGCCGAGCCCTGCTATCGGCAGTTCACCTGGCAGCTCTGTGCGTGCTGCCATTCTGTACAGGCGCTCGATGCCGACCTTATCCATCGTACCCCCGGTTGGCAGCATTCAAACGACGCGAGGATCGGGACAAAATCGGATCGGGATAATTCGAAATCTCTGAGAATCGGCGGGTTTGGAGGATGTATTGGGCGCCGCGGCCGCTCCAGAGCGTTCCGGAACGCTCTGAGAGCGCTCCGGAACGCTCTGCAGCGATTTATCCCGACCTTAGCCCTGTTTTATTAGTGTGGCCGATCCGTTCAGGTTTTCGGTGTCGATCCCTTCCATCGTTTTACTGGCTGGCCCTCCCTCTCGTTCTCGGAGAGGGGGTTGCCCCAGATCTTTCTCTCAGGAGTGACTGTGCGACTTCGGTGGCGCCGCTCGTACTGGTTCCTGGTAAGTGACGGATTCCTGGCCATCGGTGTTAGCATGACCTCCTGGGGTGTTGTGCAAGCGACATGCCCCCCTCAGGGGCTGCGTGCGTGGGTGTCTCGTGAGGTTTATCCGACGTCAAGTCCTACACGCCCTCAGCGGTCACTTGTCAGCCTCGCTGTCTGTAACCTTGCCGCGCCACTTTGGCTGCGTATAGCTCCTTGGTTCAATTTGTGCATCGGCACTGCCCCCGGACCCTGGTCCTGGTTACAGTTTGCATCGCCCGTCGGGAAGGTTTCGGGTCCTGCCCCGCTTCCTGGCACCACCTCGCGCAGCCCGGCAGCTTAGGCAGCTTAGGCAGCTTAGGTTCGGCCGTCGGTCCCCGTGCGCTAGGCAATTAGGCAGGTTCGCGCGTAGCCCGCCCAACCTCCGACGCCGCTGGCGCGCTCGCCTGCGGCCGCGACCAAAAATCCCCACCAGCCCATTCAGAAACGATTGCCAGGTGATTCGGTTCGTCAGGGACGCCTGGAAGCACGCGGTCGCACAGCCGCCATGGAAACGCCAAAGTTGAGTGGGCAGCACCCTGGGCCACAAAACGAAGACCACAAATAGCTTCGCGCAGTGAAGTTTAAGACCGAACTCAGTGCAAGATGCGCCATGGTGTTCCCTGTGGTACGCGTCGCTGGCGCAGGTTGTTGCATGTACGATCCGACGCCACTGTTGCGCACATTAGAGCCGTATCTTGATGGCCGTCCTTGCTCTTAGCCGTTGCACCGATTTGTACCTTAAGCTCGCGAGCGTTTCGAAATTTCTGGGGTGTTGGTGTTGCTGCCGGTGGTGCTGCTGCTGATGTTGATGGTGTTGCTGCTGCTGTTGAGGATGTTGCTGATGTTGCTGGTGCTGTTGCTGCTGCTGCTGCTGCTGCTGCTGCTGCTGCTGTTGGTGTTGCTGCGTGTGGTGCTCCTGTTGGTGGTGGTGATGCTGCTGGGACCATTTTGGGGGCAGGAGGAGGAAGAGCAGGAGAAACAGGAGGAGGAGGAACAGGAGCAGGAGCAGGAACAGAAGGAGGAGGAGGAAACACAAAAATAACGGAGGAGAAGGAGACCATCTTTGGCTTTCCAGGGCCCTCTTGGAGTCGTCGTGGACCATATTGGACGCTGCTATGAGTCACGCCCAGGGAGGGGGGAGGTAAACCTCACAAGCAGGGGAGGAAGCAGGTTGGATATTGCAGGGTGCTTGCAGGGTCACTGCTGGGTCTTTGCAGGGTCATTGCAGGGTCTTTGGGGCACTCCTGGGGCTCTTTGGTGGAGTCTGGGAAGCCTCTTGGGGCCGTCTTCACCCCCGTTGTTCAGAAAAAAAGGGGGGGTCTAATTCGGATTGCCCTTCGGAGGCTCAAGAATGCCGTTTGGGGGCCCTCTCGGGCCGCTCTTGGAGCGTTCCTGGGCGCTCTTTGGGGGGCCGTATTGGGACCCTCTTGGGCCTCTCGTGGGGTTCTCTTGGTCTTGGGGCCATATTGAGGCCTCAAGAACCCATCGGGGGCGAACCAGAAAGCAAACAACCGTGATTGTCCTTAGGTGTTTGAAGGAGTTGGGCCCCTTTTGGGGGGGGGTCCACGGAGGGCTCTGAAGGCACTTGAAACCCTTTTGGGGCCGTCTTGAGGCCTCTTGGATGCGCGTCGGAGGCTACCATGAGCCATCTTGAGCTATATTGAGCCATTTTGGAGGCCATCTCGAGGTCCCTGGGGTCCTCTTGGGGCCACTTCGGGTAATTATCCTGGCGAGGGGCCCAACCATAAGCAATTGTTCGTAACGCGCTGTGGGTGCCGCGTTCGGTGGGGCTCCTTATGGGGCCACGAAACGCTGCCCTGGGTGGGGGAACCGCATGCGACAGCAGCCAGTGGAGCCTTCGGTGGAGCTCCCTATGGGGCCACGAAGCGCTGCCTTGGGTAGGGGGAAACGCATGCGAAAGCAACCACTGGGGCCTTCGGTGGAGCTCCTTATGGGGCTAATAAACGCTGCCCATGGTGGGGGACACGCATGCGAGACCAACCATTGGGGCCTTCGGTGGAACCCACTATGGGGCCACGAAACGCTGCCCAGGGTGGTGGGGGGGGGAGGGAAACGCATGCGAGAGCAACCACTGGGGCCTTCGGTGGAGCTCCCTATGGGGCTACGAAGCGCTGCCCAGGGCGGGGGAAACGAATGCGAGAGCAACCACTGGGGCCTTCGGTGGAGCTCCCTATGGGGCTACGAAACGCTGCCCAGGTTGGGGGAACGCATGCGAGAGTAGCTACTGTGGCCTTCGGTGGAGCTCCCTATGTGGCTACGAAGCGCTGCCCAGGGTGGGGGAAACGCATGCGAAAGCAACCACTAGGGCCTTCGGTGGAGTTCCCGATGGGGCCACGAAACGCTGCCCAGGGTGGGGGAAACGCATGCGAGAGTAACCACGAGCTCCCTATGGGGCTACGAAGCGCTGCCCAGGGTGGGGGAACCGCATGCGACAGCAGCCAGTGGAGCCTTCGGTGGAGCCCCTATGGGGCCACGAAGCGCTGCCCGGGGTGGGGGAAACGCATGCGAGAGCAGCCATTGTGGCCGTCGGTGGAGCTCCCTATGGGGCTACGAAGCGCTGCCCAGGGTGGGGGGAACGCATGCGAGAGCAACCACTGGGGCCTTCGGTGGAGCCCCCTATGGGGCAACGAAACACTGCCCAGGGTGGGGGAAACGCATGCGAGAGCAACCATTGGGGCCTTCGGTGGAGCCCCCTATGGGGCCACGAAACGCTGCCCAGGGTGGGGGAAACGCATGCGAGAGCAACCATTGGGGCCTTCGGTGGAGCCCCCTATGGGGCCACGAAACGCTGCCCAGGGCGGGGGAAACGCATGCGAGAGCAACCACTGGGGCCTTCGGAGGAGCTCCCGATGGGGCCACGAAACGCTGCCCAGGGTGGGGGAAACGCATGCGAGAGCAACCACTGGGGCCTTCGGTGGAGCCCACTATGGGGCTACGAAACGTGTGAGAGGTGTGCCGAGTGCAGAGGCAAGGAGGGGGAGGAGGGAGGAGGGGGAGGAGGAGGGGGAGGAGGAGGAAGGAGGAGGAAGGTGGGACGCGGGGCTCTGTCTCTTCAAAACGAGGACCCAACACCACAGGATGGTTAGGAAAAAAGAACGCTCTGACACGTCGGGGCCCCCGCCGTCCAGACCCAGGGAGGGGGGAGGTAAGCCTCCCGAGCAGGGAAAGGAAGGAGGTTGGAAAGGTAACGCCCTAGACCACATGTGCCCAGAGGGCTAGTAGAATCATGTATGTATATATATATATATATACATACATACATCGTGTAGACACATAGACGCTAGACATATATGTTCATATTCCCC